TAATTCAGCAAATCTGGTGGATGCGAGAGACAAGATCTAATTTGCATAACAATGCCCACCTCTGAATACCCCCCTGGCCCTTACGCCCGCCTACATTCAGATAAAGAGGGCTGGTTTTGCTGTAATTAATGTAGCACATTCAAATTAGCATACACACACACACAGATGCCCACGTACACATATACACATATACACACTCAGGCGCGTCCTCTCTACCTCCACCACAGAGCAAGCGTGCGTGAGACCATCAGCGTCCTCATCTTGGGGATCATTGGTGGACCTGTCACTGGATCATCTGCCTGTCAGAAATGGGCCGAAACAGGGCTAGCTGAAAAGACGAAAATACACTTTTACCTAGGGATGTGAGTATCGACTATTATTGAGAATTACACCTGCTGATCATACAACCCAGGATGTAATATAGCTGATAATTATTTCAACGGCAAAATTAATTAACAATAACAAAAATTATTCTGTATGTATAAAATAACAATGATTGTTATGTACTTTTTTGTATTTTGACAATAATGATATAATACATACAATGTATTATTATTATTATTATTATTATTATTATTTTTCATAATTTTGATTATTATCATTATTATTAGTAGTATTTTATTCAAAATCTTATTTTAAAATATATATTTTGAAAATATATTATTATAAATCTGAAACACATTTTTCCGGTATATTCTTGTAGAAAAAATATTTTATGCATGATTTTGAAATTAATAACAATAATATCTAATTTCATAGTAGTTATCCTTATATAACCACTTTGTATATCTGTCTTATTTAATAATTAATAATTATAATATAATTTTTTTAAGACTGCCAAGAATAATTGTATTTTTTCCAAGATTGTTTACATGCTATTATTATGATTAGTAGTAATAGTAGTAGCAGTGTTATTTTACAAGACCTATGATGTTAATTAAAGCCATCGTATTCATTTCCATTTGTCTGTATTCCACTCCATGTTGTTTTGAAGAGGCTGCTATCATTCAGCTCCTTTATTAGACCGTAAAGATGTCTGTATCTGATAGATGCTGCAGTGTTTGCTGCTACTCTGGCTTTTTCCCCTGCCATCAATTCCTTGTATGTGAAGTGAAAACATACTTTCTGCTCGCTGGCAGAGTGTAGAGCTGGCGTGCCCCAGATAAACTGCTTTCTTTGGAGAGAGCCGAGGGGGGACTTGTTCAAGAATAACAGGCAAAGTAAATCGAGAGAGCGCAGCTTCCAAAAGACTGCCCAGGCCCTCCAGCCTCCATTGTAAGGATTACAGGCAATCTACATCGCCTTCTGTAGTGATTAAACAAGAGGAGGAATCTAAACAAATAAAAGGATTTTATGGCACTTTGCAGCTCTTTAAACTGAAAACAGAACTGTTTTTGGAAAGGACTTTAAGGGCTGTTATAGTCAGTGGATCAAGATGAGCTGACAGTGCAGAGAGGAGCATCTCTCAAGTGTACACGCAGAATTATTCACTATTTACATTGTTTCTTTGGTGGGATAGTGTCAAATTTAATTGGCAGCGTGAGAGATGGGAAAAGACCACACGCACACACGTACACGTGCACACATAGGGTTGCTGGCTTCCTCTCCACAATATGTCCGTACAGGCTGTGCTTAATGAGCATCCACTTGTGCCTGAGTGGTCAGATGGACGGAGGGGCGTGTGTTCCTGTTTGAAGGGGTTCTCTGTTTGTGCAGTCATGCTGGGACATTGAGCAGAGATGGCCTTTCTGAACTTATGTCCTGTACTGACATAATTATGAACTGAAATGATCTAACTGAGCACATTTACTTAACACATTTACTTGCTATACTGACAATTCATGTATGTCATACCCAGTGAACAGACAGAACAAACACATGAAAAACAGTTGCTAAACATCAGTAAATTACATACTGTACTGTGCAGGTCAGACACCACCGTTCATTTATTTAGTTTCACTTAATTCATTTCATCTATTTGAATATTAAACAGAAAATTACACAGATGCTTCAACTACACAATATCAAATTTACAGTTTTAAGTGCATCAGCTCATTGCCATTATTACATCTTCCATTTCTTTTGGGAGTCTTGATTTCAGTTCAAAATCTTTTTAGACGTCTCCAAAGTTCAGTCTTAGAAGTTGGTTGCATTTTCTGCATCTCACAATACATGTAGTGCCAAACAGTGGACAGTCCACTGTTCAGAGCACACCAGCAGGTACTTTGTTTGATTTTGAAAATTTTCTTCTTTTTTGTCTATTTCCTTTTCTTGGCAGCTACACATCTTTTCAGACTCATAGTGTTGAGTTGTCTTCTCACAGTGGATGATGGACAGAAACACCTGTGGATTTTTTACAGATCTGAAGCAAGAGTGAAGCTAGATTATCTCCTCACTCTCAAAGATGAAAGCTTTAAGTAGTGTTTATTTTAAAGCTTATCACCATCTTAATGGTGACAGTTTTGGTGGTGTACCAGGTCTTGCAGGTTGTTGTTAGCTTTAAATCATTGTTTGAACTGCAGTTTTGAAAACTCCTGTGGTTTTCATTTATTTTCTTTTGACTTTCTCATTCCTTATCTTACATCTAATCTCTTCTGAAATATAATAACTTAAAAAATAAATAATAAATATAATAACGAAAAATAAATAACTTGTACTTAATGGACATTTTGACAGGACATTAAATGAATGCAGGGTGGTCTCTGACTTCAAAGCCAAAAGATAAAAAAAGCATTCTTTACCTTATTATAAGTTAATGTAACAAGATTTTATTCCTTGTCATTTGTGTCGGTCCATTCCATATGAAATATGCACATAACATACACTGCAGCTGGTGGATTCATTAAAAAAATACAATAGTATTTGTATAATAGTATATAGTGAGAAACTACCATGCACTCCAAAACACTAATTTCCTTAGTAGCTTTGAATCACCTGAATGTGTTGCTTTATGATTTAAATGTATTTACGGTTAGGTTTACAATTCATAGTTATTTGTAAGTAATCTTCTTGCCAATGTCCAATATTTTGTCTTTTTTCCTACTGCAAGCTACTCATATTATGGCTAATACAACACTGTTATTCATGTGGGTTATTTTCCTTTTACTTTGTGCAGTTTGACAAATTATGCCAGCGAATGTCCAACAGATGTCTTCCAGCATTGTCAGTTTAGTTGTAGTCTCAGAACCTGGCTCTTGCAACTGTTGTTAAAGTCCACATTGTGTTTACTAAAGAGACTGAAGCAGGAGAGAGCGCATTGGAATATGCCTCCCCTGACACAACTCCCATTGGTGTTAATTAAATTTTGATTGTCAGTGAACTAAAACCACTTACATGCCACCCCTCTTTAATTTTGTCATTTGTGCCAGACACTCCCAGATGTTGTTTTCAGGTTCCGTCACGGGCTGAGAAACTGGCGCTTTCCTCCACCTAACAGTGTAGATTTGACAGAATTCACTGGTGGCTTGTATTTGTGAAGAAACATCCTTTCTGTGAACAGCTCAACAGTAATGGAGTCAAAGCCCTAGAATTCCTCCTGTTGATTCTCAGCTGATCCATTTTGTTAGTTCTCTTGTTATCTCTTGTTTTTTTCCAAATAACAAATGAACATGGAGTGGAGGCAGAGAGGAAGTTCCACTCCAGCAATGTTATTGACCGTTTCCCCTCAGGGATAATCTAGAAGGTTCCTCTGGGGCTATTTACAGGAATCCCGTCCAGTCCCACGGAAAAGGTCAAATTAAGGGCTCCTCTATTGCTTTTGTCAGACGGCCAGAATGAAATTGCTCAAGCCGTTGCCCACCAGAATGCCACAGGCGCTAGGCGACATTTGTTTGATTGTTTTGAGCTCGCCATGTTCAGATTTCACAAAAAAACTTTGCAAGGTCTGTGTCACTCTGTGTAAACTTGTCTTTCCCGTGTTAAATGTCTGTTTTCTTTCACTAACATGAACAGATTGTGATTGGAGCTAAGATTTGAGACTTCATTGGCAGTGCTTGGTAGCGTGATCTCAACAAATGCTGCTTGTTGGGAGATCAGCCAAAGCATTTTGTGTTGGGATGGTTGTGGAATATCCAGCATTATAGAGAACTGGGTTAATCATCTACATAGTTTTTAAACATCTACCATGCATAATTACAAACTCATTGTTTTCAAGATCAGGATTTTTTTTTTTTTTTAATTCCACTTTTTCTGGCTTGACATAATGAAGCAGTACTGCTATGATGGCTGGTCATAATATTTAATGAGAGGGCTAAAAAAATATATATCAATAGCTCTCACAATAGAGTCATATTTTAGATCTCATTCCTAGCAATATTGCTTTTTATAGCACACAAAAAGTTACAGCATCACCAGAACAGGACATGGTTCAAGTTCAGTCCTTACTGAAGAACGATGTAAAATAGCAACGTAGAATGTAATACAAATATCTTACAATAATGTCTCTAACAAGCAGTTATAAGCTCCAAATGTCCATGAACAGCAATATAGCTATACCACCACTGTCAGAAATTAGCATTATTGCAGCAATGGAAATTAAATAAATGCAGGCTTAGTATGATGCAAATTAAACTATTTCTGTATTATGCATTGCCATGTAGTGATATGCTCTTAATCTGACTATCATTGCAAACAAAATTATACAGAGCATTTTACAATGGCTTTGAGCATGTCTCAGCCAATCCCATTATAGAAATGGACAACGTTTTGGTGGTGCTGTTGATCTTGGGTCAACAGAAGTCTAAAATAATCTTGCATTTTTAAAATCACAATCTTTTAAATCACAGATTTCATATAAAAAGAGAGTAAGGGTCCACCCTAGTATAGAAGTACACTACTTGTACTGTTGACCTATCAAGCCAAGGCGCAGTGTTAACATACTAAGTATGTAGCTAATAAAGCACAGTAAGCATGTGTAAAAAGCTTGTGTAAACATGACCAAAATGGAGCTAATATGTGTATATTTCTCTGTTTTTTTTCCCAACTAGAGTCCACCTAAAGCCATGGCAAACTCCTCTGAGTGGCTAGAGGACAGCAACACTTCATATGTTGGTGATTTCGAACCATGTGCCACAGTGAGGAGCCCAAGCACTCGTGTAGCTCTGTATGCATTCATAATTGTTGGAATCTTCTGCACAGTGGTTGGCAACTTACTTGTGGTACTGGCCATTGCTTATTTCAAACAGCTACAATCTCACACCAACTCTTTTGTCATGTCGCTAGCGGTGGCCGACTTTCTGGTGGGCTTGGTGGTCATGCCATACAGCATGGTGAGGACTGTTGAGGGCTGCTGGCACTTTGGTGCCACCTTCTGTCAACTGCACTCCAGCCTGGATGTGATGCTGTGCACAGCATCCATCTTCCACCTGAGCTGCATCGCTTTTGATCGATACTATGCCGTCTGCAACCCACTGGTGTACTCCTTCAAAATGTCCCGTAGCCGTGTGGCTTTGCTAATTGTAGTTTGCTGGGCCGTTCCCTTGCTCATCTCCTTTGGGCCCATCCTTCTTGGACTGCACAAGCTTGGAGTGGACGTATCCTTGCCTGAGAATGTGTGCGTCTTTCTAGTGAATCGTGTCTATGCTGTCATAGCTTCACTGGTGGCTTTTTACCTGCCCATGGTCTCAATGCTAGTTGCCTACTGGAAGATCTACAAAGCAGCCAAGCGTCAGGCCATGCAGATCAGCGCCATGGAGGCTCAAATGGCAGCTGGAGTGGGGAAGGACTCCAGCAAGAAGCAGAAGCACCGCAACTCCATGAGGAGGGAGAGGAAGGCAGCCCAAACCCTGGGGATAATCATGGGTGTCTTCCTCCTCTTCTGGTTGCCGTTCTTCACTGTGAACATAGTGGACCCATTCATTGAGTACACTACTACAGGTGTAATATGGGATGTGTTCCTCTGGCTGGGATATGTGAACTCTTCCTTGAACCCTTTCCTCTACGGTTTCTTTAACAGGTCGTTCCGCAGGGCTTTCCTAATGATCTTGGGCTGCAGGATATGTCTGCCTGGCTCAGCCCCAGGCATGGACCTCTCTCACTCTAGGAAGGATGCCAATGAGCGCACAGAGAACCAATAGGCCACGTGGCTCCTCTAACACCACAAGGGTATCCTGCACTCTTGAAAATAAAGGTGTCAAAAAGGGTTCTTTGGGGCGATTGCATAGACAAACCACTTTGGGGTCTCTAAAGAACTTTTCAGTGGATGGTTTCTGTAAAAAAAAACAAAGGATAATTTTAAAGAACCTCCACATGATGTAAAGGTTCTGTAACAATTACAAGTTTATCCTACAATTACATGTCCAAGCCAAGAACTGCTAAGGGACCTTTAATTTAAAATGTGGCTAACCACTGAACTATGAGGCAAAGCAAGAGGGGGAGTTCCACTAAACAATAAGAAAATCCCCAAGATTAGAGGCCCTGTGAAGTTTTCCATAGCTATGCTTTCAAGGTCCATTGACTACATTCCTTTATTGCATTATTGATTTCAATTCTGTCTTTACTAGTCAGGCGTAGAGTAGTAAAATGGAAAAAACTCTCATCAACGGACTAGGACCGAAAGTATGCCGGGTGACAAAGTGCATGCAAAGTTTGCAGTTTGGTAGCAGATTTCCTGTGTAAATGCGAGAGCTTTTCCCACCGAGTGTTTGTGTTTGCTGTGTAAATAAATGAACTGTCAAGTCTGCCTTTCTTCATTTCTCACAGCTACAGTATGCTTCTCCAGAACAAATAATCTGCACAAGTGGTGCACAATTTATCATCCCCAATACCGGAAGATGTTTGTTTATCTTCTAGTACATTGTGTAGTATACTAGAAGATATGAAAAAAGGATAGGCAATGGACATAACTGTTATTCAATCTTCTGCATAATACCTACGAATTAAAGTTGAAGTACTGCCTGTGGCAAGAAACATTTTTTCTCCAGAATTTTATATTACAAAGTCATAATAAACAGAGCTCCCTCATGGAGGCTACACTGCGCTTAAATAAATACAAATAATTCCAGTACCATTTAAATTTCTGCATGACTTCCCGCTCAGCTATTTAATTTACAAACAACATTAGTAAGGGCTAATACTTCCCTGGTGAGAGAGTGACAGCAATGGTTTAAGACATGGTTTATAAACTCACTTGTGAGGGCTGAAGCACTGCACAGTTTGCCGTTTACTTTTTCTCTCATGAAGTAGATACACTAATACTTAGCTGTGCTCTTATAGCATGAGCAGTGTTGCCAAGCTGTTAGGCTGTCACAATTGATTATTTTAATAATAAAGTAATCCATCAGTAAACTGTCTACTGGTGGATTTAACAAACCGAGATTAGATTACAAAAAGATTAAAAGAACTTAAACATGGCTAATGTCAGCCAACACTGTAAGTACACTACAAGTATTTTCACTGTCAAAGTACTGAAAAATGCAATAATCAATACCTGTTGTTTGAAAAAGGTTTATTTCAGAGATTTTGCATTTATTTTAATGGTTGTTCCTGTTATTATGGTAAAATACTGTATGTAAAAATAGATAGTTGAACTAGTGAAATTGTTTGAGAAAACATGCTTTTACTATCAATTAAACAGGCTTTGACCCCTCCTGCTGGGTTTTTAATCCTTATTTTAAATATTTTTTTACTATATAGAGCAATGTAGCTCTGCCCCTTCACAATGATGTTGTGAATGTTTCAGCCTAGTCTATTTTTTTGAATGAGACTCAACACAGGACAGCCAATCAGAACTCAAATAATTTTACATATGTCAATAATACACAGCAAAACAGCCTGTTTTATTGCAAAAGAGTGGTTGGAAAATAGTCATGCAAAAGTGACATGGCTACCTTTGGTGCATAGAACCACACAAATGTCATATGTGGACCCCATGGAAAAAAAGAGGTTGGGGACTTGTAGAAAAGCTTAATTGAATTATTGCCTTCTAAGGGATTCCAAGGTGTATAATAAAATAACATGTATGTAATAAGTATGTATAAAAAAATGCACACATACATACGTATACAGACATACATACATACAAACAACTTTAGCTTTGGTTTGTGCCAGGGTACATCAGCTGAACTAAACAGATTGTTTCTGTAGGTCATACACTTCTAATGATTTGTGACACATCCTTTTGAATTGCTGTCCTTGCTTGATTGCTAATAAAGAGCTGCTGAAAGTAGATGTCACACAGACCTTCTAAAGATATTCATGAGAGGAAATGGGGATGTGAAAATAGAAGTCTGGGGCACGGTCATGTTCATATGAGATAATTCTTGATTTCAGTCTGAGACTAGACAGACTGCGTCGAGGACTGGCACCAGCTGGTCTGTGCCAAGAGAGAGAGAGTGTTATGGCTTGTTTTGTAAAACGTCCAAATGTTTCTGTAGCTATTTGTAGCACAGTGTTCTTCGATGCTGGCCGCTCACACATCTCAAAGGAAATGTACCGACATTATATCCTAACTCCCCGCTCTTCTGACTTCTGAGCAACGGGAAGTCTTTGCGATGAGTCAAAACACATATGCACTCGTCCCTGATGGGCCCATTTATGACCACCATGTCTGTTATTCCAGCTTAAGCATTGCTGATTCACATGAAAAGGGGTGGCAGGAATGCTGTCCGCAAGGACATTTTGCTCCTCAACAAGACCTATAAATAATGTGATTTGTCCCTGTCATATAAAACATCATCTTTTTTTTACCAGCTGAAAACTTCGGCTGCACTTTTACACTATGTGAACATTTCATGATGATTAGAAATCTTTTGCTACAAAGTTTTGTAACAAATACCTGTATTTCTGTGTTTGGAAGGTATTTACTGTGTGATTATCAGGCTAAGAAAAAAGGTTGAGAAGGGTAAAAGTTTTTGTTGGAGAAGGAAAAAGGACACAGGTTTGGGAAGATAAAGCACTTTAGCCTTTGGCTTTTCGTCAACTTAATCAACTCTACCTATACCCAGTGATAGAAAATAACAAAGTACAATACTTTTACTCTGTGTAGCAGATTTTTATGGATCTCTGGGCCATGAATCTAGTTTCTCGATTTTGTCCTCACTGGTGTTTAACTAAACAGTTACTGTAACTAGCCAGCAGGTGTGATTTTCCACCTTAATATAAACGACAGAGAGTGAAATGATCCCTACATACACTTTATGTACAAACGTAGCCAGATACCTGTTTATAATCTCCATAGAAAAGAGAAGCCATGCCCAAGCCTGAGGTCAGTGCCGAGCATTGGCTAGAGGGGTATAAACCCAGTATTGGGCTGTGGGGCAGTGAAACTGTGGTCTCAGGAGCGATGGAGTTCCATCCAGTACCTTTGGGATGAGCTGCAGAATTAATCATCCAACATCACTGATTTCTCTATTGCTCTTGTGATTGAATGCAATTAAATCCTCATAGCAAATGTTCCAACATCTAGTGTTGTTACTGCATTAAAGAGAGGCAAACTTTTGGACATACAGTGTGTATTTGTTTGCAAATTTCTCCTGCAATTGGCTGTTTGTGCACTTTCACACCAAAAAAGATGAAATGGGACAGGAGAAGTGACAGACGAAAGTAGTTCAACTGTAAAGAAAATTGTGTTTAATTTGTAAAAAAGAAATTCGGTAAGCTAGTGGTTTTAAATTTAGTTCTTATGAAACTGCACTATTTCACTGTTAAATGTTTAATAACCATTAAATTTAAAAACAGCAAAGTTACTTACTTTAGGTTGAAACACCAAACATTTTCACAATGCAGAGATGCAGCAATATTAATGACAATTCAACTTTGCAAAGCCAGTCAGTGTTGTTTGAGGAGCAGTTGTGTAACAGGCCATTCTCCATCCATAGCCTAACTTGTTTCTCATTAGTGATTCTTTCCTTAACATGTTAATGCTTCACAGAGAACAGCTCTTTTCAGGTTAGAATTAGAATTGCAATGTTTATTAAAGGTCTTTTCTTTTGTACTTTAACTGTGAAACCATACTTTTTCAACTTTTTAGATGACTATGACACTTTCACTTTTTGCGTACTCCTTCCCACCTCTCCTTTCACCAAACAAGGCGTAAACACAAGCTTCACTCTGAACTGAACTTTTTATTTGTTTTCCAGGCTTTTTCTCAGTGCTCTCCATTGGCTTTCCTGTCTTTCACGTATCCAACGACCTATTGAGACAAAAGCATGCACATAAATAGCTGCCATTGGCCCCACACAGGTGTAGCACCCATTACTCTTTAACCATTTCTTCCTCCTCTAGCTGCCCCTCGACCAAACCCCTAGTGAAATACAAAGTCAGTCTTATTCCCAACACTTGTGACCATAAACACACACTAAGTAATATATTAAAAATAATACACCACGATTAAAAAGCCCATTTATTAGTATGACACGTATAGTGTAGTATGTGGTTTTAGATGCAGCCATGGCCTTCTATTATGTTCAGGATCTTTTATACAGCAGGTCTAAATCATTTCACCACAGTAATAATGAACATTTTATAGCCCCCAAACTGTGCGTTGCCTAATTTATACCCACATAAATGATTTAAAAGTGGAGCATAAATAGACTTGGTACCTCATCATTCATTGATACCACATTTAAATTATACACAATGCATTTTTCTCACAAAATGTTCATTATACCTCTTCAGTTTTTGGTTTTAAATGGAAATATAAGCACAACACTATTTTATTACCAGAATATGAGGTTTTTGCAGATCTTGGCTTCATTTAAATAGGATTGAAATGAAATAAATACAAGTAATAGATTTTTGATTACTTTTTTGTATTAAACCTGAGATTATAAAACTCACAGGACTTCTACATAAACGTATTTGATATTTAATAAATGTTACATTTTCTGACAAGAGCCTTGGTTAAACATAACCAAACTCATCATCTACAGTTAAAAATATCAGAATGTAAAGATGCAGAATGAAAATCATATTCCTTTATTAACAACTCAGCACAATGTGTTTTAAAAACTTTTCTTCATGGAGGGGGAGAAATTCTCAAGCTGAGCTAAGAGGGAACACAGGTTGTCTGCAGAAAATGAGATATTTATAGTGACTTACATCAGGTTATATCTGTGTTACAGCCATTGGCAGAGGCAGGAAGAGCAGCCTAAAGTAACAGTATTGTTACTTTAGTGATCATTCTACTCCAGTTAAAAATAGCCTAGCAAAGAACAACTGCAGTATAATAAAATATCTCATCAAGTGCTGAGTTCCTTATAGCCGAACATCTCAGTACGTCCAGCATCTATCAGTATAGGTTTCCTAAAGATTCCTCACAAATCTACTTTGCAACTTCAGACCAGGCCTTTAAAATATGGTTGTAAAATGAAAGGAGATTGAGTGACTGTAAGAGGGGAGAGAACTCGAGGAATTTTGAGCAGCTTCTGCTACAGAAGTGGTTCAGTGAAAAAGTCAATTTATACAAATTTCTCTTTTACTCCAGGTGTAGTTGAAAACATGTTTGGTGTCCAAAATGTGTTTCTTTACGTTAGCTCAGGGGCTACAAGGCTAATGTTGCTAAAAAACGCTGTCAATAGACTATTCTCACACTTTCCTTTGTTTGTCAGTGCGGAAGAGTAAATAGTAGCGTTAAACGGCTTCCGGTCGCACTGTAAACAATATCTGATACTGCATTCCTAAATGCACAAATAATTCAACTAAACAGCCATATATGTGTTTCCACTTAATCAAGTTAAAAAACAATTTAAGCTGAAAAGCACCATTCATCATGTGTCACTTTTAAAGAGGTAACCATCAGAAAGAGGGAAAAACTGAACTGGAGAGTGAGCTGTACAGTACTCACTTTCCTGATTACCAATGCTCAGCCCCAAGACAAATATTTATTAGGCATTTTTACAATCCTGGAGAATTATTTGATTTTTTTAGATTATTTTATTTGATTTTTTATGTTAAATTATTAAACTATCATAAATGATAAAATGTTGTATTTACAATAAACCTATACAACTAACGGCTACTTTTTCTTTTCTTGTTTTCGGCAAACAAGTAAACATCCAGCGACCTTATTTTGCCCAACGCCCCTCCCCCCCTCTGTTTACATGAAATAGTTCAGTCCTGCCTCCAGACCAGCCGCGAGCAGAATTTGCTAGCTAGCAGCTAAACTTCCTAAACAAAAATCTGTCCTTCAAAAACGAAAAGAAAGAATAAAGACAGGAAAGATAACAGAAAGGGCGGCAGTACGTCACCTAGTTTTTCACAAAGAAAGATGGGTGTGGCCCGTGAGTGGTGGAAATGGACTTAGATAGCTTAGTCCACAGTGAAACACAGTAACCTCTGCTCCATGAACATTATTTACTCAGTATCTTAACAGAACATCCGGAGTGTTTACATGTCACTTCCTGCCGACATTTAAGCAGTGCAGGCAAAGTTAAGGTTAAGACACTATTCATACTGTAACGCTATTATATGAGACACACAGCTTACTGCATGATTTATGCGCTTTGTTAAAGGCTGTATCGGCAACAGCCACGTCATACAAATAAGCAAGGCGAGCAGCTAACGGCTAGCTCAACGTCTGCTAACGTCTGCACTCTCGCTTCAGAGCTCCGTCTGACTAGTTCCTCACGTGGTTGGCATAAACACAGAACACAGCGGTCAGTTCGCCTGCACAATGAGAGCCCTTATAGAAACAACTCGGAGAAATAAATGCTAGAACACACTTAACCAAAACTGACATGCAGGACATTATTATGAACATGTTGCAATACTAAATCATTTGTCCCTGCCCCTGCCTGGTGCCAGGCTCAATAGATGCATCCTCAGACTCAACGGCCCTGTCTCCCCATCCTCATTCCCCTAACACTGAATCAGCCCCGTCTCCCAACTGAAGAAGGTGAGCAGCTTTGTGATATGTCAGTTGGCATGAATGCAGGAGGTCAATGGGAATTTCTTTTTTTATTGTTTATTTTAAATTGATTAATGTTAAGAGAATTTGGCATAATCAAAGATTTTACCATTAAAATTATATTTTAGCTGTAAAAGATTGCCTTGAAAAAGCCTTTAGCACATTTCCTATAGCAGGGGTCTTGCATCAAATAGTAAATTCTACTTTATGCAGAATATTGCATGCTGTGCAGCTGCACAGTGCTATATTTTCAGGGATGGTGAGGCCTGTGGTGGTGGGGCCCAATGTAATATCTTTACATGTGGCCCAAAATCCCTGGTGGCGCCCCTGCTTCTCTCAACCCGCTCATCTCATATCCATGTCATACAGACTCGTCAATGTGGTTTAGGGCACAATACAATATACTGTAAACTACAAAAATGAGCAAAACTTCACTGTGTAGCCAAACACTGTGGTTATCCACTTCAGTCAACACAATGAAGTTTTGTGCATTTTTACTTCTTTGTATAGTTGCAGTTTGTTAGCAATGTTAGCCTTGTAGCTCCAGTGCTAAACTAAAGAAGCAAAATATGAACATCAGGGGTGAGTGGAAAATTTTGTAAATTTGATTTGTTGCCAAGCCATTTCAGGACTGAGAGATAGAATTGAGGAAAAGGGAAGAGGTGGCGAGGTATTGGGGTGCTAAAACTTTGGAGAGAAGGAATTTTCCAGGATGTTAGAATGGAGAAAGAGGGGTTTCAGGTTTTGTCCTCCTGCCAAACTTTAGTGAATTTATAATTCCATTTGAGTAGAAACACATGATGTGTCTTTTGAATATACTCAGAGATGCTCAAATCCATTAAAATGCTTTTTCGAACTGCACCACCTCTGCATGAAATTAATACTTTCGGGACTAGTTGTGCTAGCTTAATTATGTCCCCACTGTGTTCCTTCAGAATTCACTGTTTAATTGTTTGTTGAACATTTTGTGCCAATTCGGTCATGTCTATAACTCTAGGTCTAAAAAATGCACCTCAGCCTTCCAAAAATAAACAATACTTTAACATGACCCTCCCCTTTGAGATGAAAAACGACAGCAGCCTCCCTCTTTCAAGATGTCCACCTTAATAATTCAGGTTAGGTATCACTATAGGGACAATTTAGTATTGATTATATGATGAACATCATTATGGTTAGAGCACAATAAGAGTGACATCTACTGGACATCAAAGATCAGGCATTTTTGTGTAATGTAGAGTATCACAGTGGGATTTTAGGGAAGGTACAAATCAGTGCTTGGCAATCTCAGGCTTGGAGGCCCACCTGCACTGCACATTTACATGTTGTCTTGCTCTCTAACCCCCATTTCAATTGCTAAACCCTGCTTGAGATTAAAATGTGGAGTGAAAATGCTAAACTGTGCAGGAGTTTGTGCTTCTTCCAACACCTACAAACCTTCATGATCTAAATTGGTGTGCCACAGTAGGTAAAGCAAACTGAGTGAAAAATCCCACAAGTTTTCCACTTTTTATCTGATTTATTTCGCATTATATCAGACATTGATGGACGTCATCACATCTGCAAATACAAATGAATTCAAAGCATCTCTCAACAATGCAAGTAACTCTGATGAAAGTTAACTGAGTATGACTGTTGCCGTAACCCCATGGCATTCACATGCCACTCTTTCAGCGGTCAATGCAAATGACATTTCATCCAAATTTATTTATATAAGTAGCATATTTCATGAAAAGTTTTATTAAGTCATTTAAATAACAATCTGTTAAACCTTTAGCACTTTACCCATGTGAACGCCACAGTACGTCTTGGCAAATCACGATATAAATAGTAAGCAGTGCTGTTGTTTTTTCAGTCCATCGGATATACAATCACAGTTAAATCTTGCTCCCTAAATTTGGGCCTTTGCAGCCTGCAGAGCAGAGCCTTTTTTTAGTAGAGCTCCGCTTTGTGTAGTAAGACTGATTGCTTGTACAGTAGGAACGAGCTCTTCAGTGTTGCTCTACTGATTGCGAAAGAATCTGACAGTTTGAAAGGATCATTTTGAAAGGCCACATGAACTTATACAGTGCACAGTTAACCAGAAGCAAAGAGTCTGTACGCCAAGTGATGGCACTTGTTGTGGTCAGGGTACTTTACAGGGAAAACGACAATCATTTGTCTGTTCACTTCTCAAAAAGGAAGTGAAATACTTAAATTACCCACATAGACATGAGTTTTGTCCTTCTCTTACAATAAAACAATAAACAAACAGTACTCCTTGTGTTGTTTGCTTTCCAATTGTGCTTTTTGTCAAAGCTGCCCATTTGAAGTCCGTCTCTGAGCAGACCACTCCTTGTCTGCCTGCACTGCAAAAAAATGATCTTTGGCAAGAAAATGCTTCTTAAATATAGGCAATATATTTAATATTTCTCATAATGAGATAATTATAAGGATATCAGGTGACACTATTTAAAGGCTATCTAAACAGGGGCATTATAAGAGAGGTTGAAGCATTGAATAATGTGTTGAAAAAGTTAGGGATAGGGTTAGGCTAGGACTTATGAACAGCTTATGGCAGTAAGATAACATTATTATGAAATAAATAACAATGTATTGACGTAAACTAAATGACAGAGTGTATAATACTCCCATGTTTAAGGCAGAGGCCTAGTTAAGAACACTTAAGTCAATTTTACTTGAATTAAAGCACAAAAGTACTATTTCTAGGACCAGTTTGGCTGCTAAACAACTAACTCAGTTTTTTATGTCTGCAGCCACAAAATATCAAAATATTATAGCAAAACCAATAACTTTTACATTTACTTTTGGTACTTTTACGGTTCATATCAAGTAATTTTGTACTTTTGTACTCAAGTAGAAATACAGATAGGAAATGAACAAATATGTATGAAAATTATCACCTAAGTTTGGGTTTATTAAAAGCTTATATGTGGATAGCGGTTCAATGGAAAATTATGATAAACCCAAACTTAAGTGATCATTTTCATAAGGTCTGTGCCTTCATGTGTTCATAAATACTCAAGTATTATTATATTAATGTATTATTTAATGCTTATGCATGTGTTATGAGGTCCCTATGAAAGCAGCCTTGAAATAAATTGTTACTGAATTTTAACTAATTTAATAATAATAATAATAATAATTTTATCAAGTGAAATTACCATAAAAAACCTGATTAGATTTAGTTCAGTCAACTATTTTTGAATGATTGGTTTGATTCAGCTTCAGAATTTTTTCCAGAATATGTTGAATAAACAAACCAGAGGAACTTTTTACATAGTGGTGAAATATAAAATATATAGCAAATAAAACAAAACACCTTTTTTGGATTTCTTTCTGTGAGAAAAGTGCCTATTTTGTTAAATATGATTGTAATTTATTATAATTGATTCTGATCTTCCAAATTCAGTTGAATTGCTATTAGAGTGATGCACCACAATGGACTGATGCATGTTTATACCCCTAGTTATACCCATTTTAACTTAGTAAGATCTTATTATATAAGTAGTCTCTAGAAATAGGTTGTAATCTTACAATATTCATATAATGAGAAATATCAGATACATTGCCGACCCTGAAGATGCTTTCACTAGCTGAGATATCATTGTTTGCAGTGTGCGTGCCAGACAGCGGCGATATGAGCAGCCCCAGGCAGTTATCTAAACCCTCTATCTTTGTTTAGATATCGGTCTCCTTCAGGCCGTAGCATTCTGGGAGGTCGTAGATCTGGTAGCCTGCTGGCTCTCCGCACTCGCTATAAATCCCCATGGCCACTGTATCGATCTCGGTCCTGCCCAGTGCGGGCGTGGAGCTTTTTCCTGCACCACTCTTGATTTTGTTGGACAAGTTGTTCATCTTTTCCTTCAAGTGGAAGGAGGATTTCTGCAGTGGAGGAAAGAAGCTCCAGCTCTTGAGACGCAGGGAGCGGCCCTTGCTCCGGCACGAAAAGACGGAGGAGCCTCCACAGGATTCATGGAGGGGTAAGCCCACCCGGTATTCTTCTCGGGAGTCTCTGGTTGGGCCTTTAATGGCTGTTCGCCACCGCTGGTCGTAGAATCGACGCAGAGTTCGGCGCCGCCGGTGGCACTGGCAGCGCAGCAGGCGGGTGAAAGCCCGCTGGAACTCTTTGCTGGAACATGGGTAGATGACTGGGTTGATGCAGCTGTTGAAGTAGCCCAGCCAGAAGATCACCTTGAACACCATGTCTGAAGGCTTCAATGAAGGGAAAAAAGAGCCTAGAGGTGCAGAGAGAGAGAGAGGGAAGGAGATGCTGTTTAGTCAAAACTTTCTGAAAAACTCAACTTGTACTCAATCAGCAAAAACATTTTTGTTTCTTTACTTTTGCGCTGGAGCTATGAGGCCAATGTGTCTAACAAGTAATAAAAAATTATAGCCACTTCCACCGGTGCAAACTGCATGTCTAAATCCTCATACATTTGTCTAGAACTGGATCAAGTTCTTATATAATTTTAAACAGACTTATTTCAGCCAAAACTCATTGTATGTCAGAAACTATGTTAGTCTTGCAGGGCCAAATGTGATCTCGTAATAAAGATTCACATCTGGAAACATGTTAAACTTTTAGTGCTAGAGTACAATCAGTAACTCAAGTAATGCCTCCTAGCGAAACACTGTTGTTAGCTAACGGAACTGTTTTTCCTTTGGAAGAAGTAATGTTTATCTTTACAGCATATGTTTTTTTTTGACACACATCTACATACTTAATTGGAGGTTTTTTTGAGGCACTTTTCAGCCATGCTAACTTACATTACATCTATGGGCTAATGACAGGCCTGTTGTGTGTCATGATTTTTGCATGCAGTTTTTATGAAGCTTAGAATATAAGCTTTTATTACTCGTTAGCTGCATTAACCTAGTACTTCCACTGCAAAACTGAAGAAGTAAAGACACTGAACTTCGCTGATCAACTAAATTTGGGTAAGCCTGCATTTGAAACAGTCTCTTTATCATTGAAAAAAAGTGGAAAAAAGAGTAGGAAGTGTCACCAAAGTGGTGAATTGTACTGGATAAAGCATTCAAAAGGAACAAAATGTTAATCAGCACTCATCTAGAAATTAAAAAGCCTTTATTGTGCCATGGCTATTGACAAAGGTTTAATCTCCAGGCTTATTATTGAGTATGTACTGTGAATCTTTCAGTAAGTAATATGAAATTAATATGTAATATATGGTTGTAAGACCTGCTAAAACAGAGTTTTCAGAGTAGAGATTCAGGCAGAGATACAGTATAGTCCATCCTTGATGAAGGCCTGCAGTAAAACATGTCAGGGAGTTGTTTATAGCCATGATACAATAAAGTCTTTTTAATTTCTAGAAGCATGCCTTGGTATTCATTTTTAGACTGTGTTTAACATTTACCCCTCCTGGGCAGCTGTATTGTTTGCCTGGCAGGCACATTTTGGATTGGATGCTATGTGCTGCTTTGCATGATGTTTGTGCCAATGCAGCCAACAGCATTGCAGGCAGTTGCAAGAGCATATGCATTTTTAAAATAGTCTGAGTCCTTGCATCATGTCGAAACGATTTCCCATTGAGATTGATTATTTTGGCCGAAAGGGGCAGCAGAGTGGGAGATGCGCCAATGTACTATCCGCTGCCAAAAAAAAAAAAATTCTCATTAAGCAAACACTGAGCAAAGCTTTTGATGGACTAGCCACACAAGTCCAGTGAAGTCTTTAAACCTCAAATTGCCTTTTTAAGTTTCTACAGGCCACCGTAACATTGAGATAAAGTGGAATAAATAAACTTGTGATCGGGGTCGAAAGTATGCTCGTTTCAGAGGAGTGGAATGCGTGGACTTTGGTCAAGTTTGTAGATGTGCGTTCTCCAAGCTTTCACTTGCTGTCTTTCATTTTCACCCCTCCCCTTCTGCTTCATATTGCATTTATATTGCATATATTGCATTGTTATTGTTAAAACACAGTACTGTGCAAAAGTCAGAGGCCACCCTTTATTTATTTTTCTTTCATTTCCAGTCAGAACCACTATTAAGTATAAGTTATTTATTTTTCAACATCAGGAAAAGAGCAGCAACATATTTAACTGAAATTTACATAGAAGCCTCAATAATTGAATAATATCATTTTTTTAAGTATTAGTGTGTACACACTTTGCCTTTATTACTTTAGATTCTACACTTTCCAAAAGACTTCTACTGAAAATCCAACAGATGAAGTTCCAATAATGTCTCTCCAAGAAAGCATTAAATTGCACAATCTGGTTATTTTGAATAACAACCAAAAATATAACCTTAGTGGTAAAAAGTGCTTATAACTCACTAAACCAAGTTATTTTATTCTAAAAATCAGGGTTTACATCAGGCTCTGTGGGGCTCTTTGACAAAGTCACAACTCACCAGGTCATAGTAATTAAACAGCTTGGTGGGTAGAATGGTTCTCAACCAATTAGATTGTGCAGTCAGGAGTAACTGTTGTAGGATTAATAACAAAAATTCTTAAATGTTGCTAAAAACTGAAGTGTGTTCTACAATTTCTCATTAAGTTGAATGCCATTGTTAATACGCAAGAGTGCTTTTGTGAATGAAGCATGGACAGGTCAATTTCATTTTACAGGGAAACTCATTCTCCATCTATGTGACAAAGAAGTTAACTGAATACTCACAGATCCTCACTCGCTAAGGCACAGTCTATCAGTTCAGTGCACTTTTGGCTCTCTCCCATATCTCTCGCAGTCTTGCGCCCTCTCCGCAGGGAGTAAGGGAGCCTGACACTATCTACCACATAAAACAGTTGTCAGCCCCCTTGCCGTTAGACGCCATGCAGCCATTCTCAGCATTACAAGAGGTCAGAGTCCCTCCCTATCAGAGTAGAGCTTTATAAATAGCCTAGCAGAGCCGTTTGGGGCAGTGGGTACAGGCTGCAAAGGGAATAGCGCCTTGGGTTGAAATCATTTTAATGAAGAAAGGAGACGCACTCCTATCCCTTTGGCCAGGGGGCTAGCGATTGGGTGTAATTGAGGCTGTGAGATGAAAGCCTGTTCCTTCTAAGCTCCTTTTTGGTAATTGGTGTGTTTACGGGAGCCGACAGGCAGGATGTTTGGCTACTGCCTAGAGAACACTTCCTTTGTAGCCAAATCTCAGAGCACAGCATGATGATCTAAAAGCGTTGTGTTGCTGTAGAGTTTTACGGGTTTCAGAAGTGTCATTTTCAAAAACACATACTGGAACCACAACCTGGTGATACAGCTGAACAAGAGCCTGACTCAAGTTCTTGAGGTGTTTTTTCCTCTCATTGTATGTGAGAAGTGCACAGGTCAAAGAGTATGACCTCACGTCAGAACAGCAACCAATGTCACACGAGTCATGTATGCACCCCGCCAGCTCACCAGACAGATGAGCCAAAGGTTATGTTTTTTTGCTGTGAAGGGGTGTGTTGAATGTAAACACTTCCATCCCACTTGCCTACATCAACTACATTCCTTAAGATTTACTTTCGTCTTATGGTGCTTTTTTCTGAGTTCATGGAAAAGGCACACGCAACCATATCTATCAACTTGAGTAAATCAGTTGCAAGTACTGCTGTACTTAAAGTTCTATGCTTTTTCAATACTAAAATGTGGTAAACAATTCAATACCCTTACATTTTCAATACTATCAGTTCTTAGTAAAAAAGAATATATATAATACAAAAAACGTTCTTTGACTAGTAACAATAACAGAAGTGCTACATAGAACCATTTGTTAAAGATTCTTTGAGGAAGTACAGTACTGGTCAGAGACCAGCCTTAACTCCCTTCACACCTTTCATGTAATTTCCAATCAAAATGGCCCTTTAAGTGAAAGTTATTGATTTTCTTTAGGAGATATTTCTGAGGAGATTAAGGAAGGAGAAAGGAAAATAAGTGAAAACACAGGACTTTCCAAAACGGGAGTTCAAAAAAATGCTTCAAATTAATAGAGACAATGCGACTCCTAAACTTGCGAAAGCTGGTAGACCACCAAAACTGTCTGCACATCCACAGGTGTTTCTGTCCATTTTGAAAAGACAACTCAATGCTATAAGTTTAAAAGGGTGTGTAGCTGTCAAGAATCTGTTACTGAGAAAAAGAAACAGACAAAAAAGAACACTTGCAAATGAAACAAAGAAACTGTTGATGGACTGACCACCCCAGAGTCCAGACCTCAACACCATTGAATGTGTTTTAGATTATTTGGATCATAAGGGTGAAACCAACTTCTAAGACTGAACTTTTGAGGTGTTGAAAAATATCTCTGCGGATTTCTTTGAAAAAACTGAAAGTAGGTCTCCTAAAAAGAATAGAAGTTGCAATAAAAGCGTGAACACACTAAATACTGAAAATCTGATATGATATTTAGTAGTTTTGTGTAATTTTCTGTTCTAAATGTTTTTGCCTTATTCCTGAAGCTGAAAAAGGGATAACTTGTACTTAATGGCCATAAATGAAGGGAGGTCTTTGAACAGTACTGTACATGCAATAGATTCATTAGCAGGTGTAATCCATTTTGTATTTGTTTCTCTTTTCTCACTGTTAATTTACCTCTTCTGAACATTGAGGCCTTCAGGCCATTTTCCCATTGTTTAGCATTAACAGTGTAAATGGTTTTCTGTGTTCAATAAACAAGTGGTTTTACACTTGATATGAGCATCAAAGTCAGTTGTGGTATTGCAACAACCCTATTTGCAAGTGACTTTACATTCCATCAAATTAAAGTCTGCTGGTCCTGGATGAGGCATGTGGATGTGAACCTGAATGGACAAAATGCTCCAAAGGAAGAAACCCTCAGACGTTCTACTTCAGATGAATCATGTAGACATGGAAGGTGATTAAGCAGTTTTCAAAACCTCTGCTGGATTATTTATCAGCGTTGTACAGCTCTCAATTATATTAAGAAGTAATTTTCCATCAGACGTCTTTATTGTCGTAGGCTGTTCATTCCCTAATTATGAGAGGCTGTTCACTTTCTATAATTATGAAGCGGTTGCTCATTTGAGATTCCACATAAAACTGGTTGTTGCATTGAACATTGTGGTCTGATTTTACGTTCACAAGATGCAACCCTTGAGTATTTAAGCTCCAACTGTATTATGTTGCACTAATATGTAGTTTCAGTCACTTTAGGAATACAATCTTAAATAAAGGTGTCAAAAAAGTTTCTTCAAGGAGTTTAATGTAGTATGTAAACATTGATAAAGTTGTCAAAAAGTGCTGATCACTCCCAAATCCATACACTCCAT